GATGGGCTGATTCCTGTAGAAAAATTGCATTTATTCTATGTAGTAACAGTAAGCCATTCTTACCATTCTGTTCACAATCCATCCAATCAGCATCTTGTCCTATAGCTGAGACAGTACAAATTGCAATATTTGATATTTCGTCCAATAGAATAAGAGTCAGCTAGCATAGAACAAATGATTATTTAATAGGAATATAAGTAATTACTTACATCATCAATTGCTGAACCACTTGTATGTATTGTATATCGTACGTATTTGTTTCTAACTAATTCAAAGTTTCCTGAAGTTCCCAAACAATTTCGAATAGGTGGTGCAACTAGATTGGTTGGGTGCCACGGTTGAATATACAAATCTGGATACACAGCACATTTGTAGGAACCAAATGGAACAAATGTCGTGGTTGTTGCTACAAATAGAAGATGATTTCATTAAATCGAGATAAATTGATATGATTACGGGATCCAATGGTGGCGGCATACTATCTGACATTTATTAAAATTTGAGTGCAAATAGTCCTACGTGGATATGAAAGGTGTAGGAATTTGCTTTGAGGAAATTCAGACTTTAGTGTTACGCCAATTTAATTATTATTCTGTCTCATTAATGAAGACGTTTCGAAGGTGAGAGTTAGCTATAGCAATCCTAATATAGCACTACACTATATTTATTAATATATTTTATGTATAACTAATGTTGTTTATTTTCACCGAAATATGCCGTTAAACATCCCTAGAGAATATACTGAGTTAAGGGTACCCAAAAAAGTACCCTGATACCAGTATGTCACAGGAACTTTTGGGTACCAAAGTACTTGCGGGTACTTACAGGTACCTAAGTGGTACTTTGGCAAGTACCCTGCTGGAAAATGCACAGTAATTGGGTACCTAAAGGTACTGATCAAGTACTGAATTGGGTACATTTGTATAGTATTTCTAAGTACCCTGTTACCAAATTTTCAGTATGTTCAGGATCGAACCTGATCTTTGACTTTTTAAAATTTTTCTTTTTCTTGAGATAATTTACTAGATTTTGTTTAACTTTATTCAATTTAATTTTTTCAATTCCAAAAACTTAGGAGGAACAATGTCGGGATCCGACTCAACTTGAGTTGGTCGTAGACCACTTCAGGGTAGTCCGATCTTAATTTACGACCAAGCTCGGCATTTCCTCGACTAAGAAATAGTCAAGAAATAATTTAGAAAAAACTAGTATGAAAATTGATTATTTTCTTATGATTTATCGAGTTATTTATATAGAGCCGTACGTAAAAAAGAAAACGGTGAATGAATAGTCGCCACACAGAACGCGAAAAATTTAGGATACCCTGTCGAGATCTCCTCAGTAAAGTTACAGACTTGTGTATCCATGCAGGTACTTATTCAGTGAATGTACTTTTACGGGTACCCCAAACAGTACATACATCAGTAAAATTACTGAGAATTTTCAAAGTACCCATATTGGGTACCCTGCTAGAGCTTTCTCAGTACATGGGTACCCTGAACTCAGTACTTTCTCTAGGGATGGCAAAGAAAACAACTCGTGATCTTGCTTTTCCATTATTAATTATGCTTAAGAGTCCAAGCGGTACACGCAGTCGAAATATCGCATATGACCACGGTTGCCAGATCAAAATCTTACAAATCGGAATTCATTTGCCTGAATTCGGAAAATTTCGGAAAAAATATCTGGCCAATTCGGAAAAAAATTCGGAAAGTAGTGGTTTCAAGCTTTTGGACGCTCAAGTTGATTTTTTAGTAAAACAAAGCTTTCGCAGTTTGGTTATCCTCTCTGTAAATATATTTCATCAACATTAAAACAAATATATTAAATGTAGTATTATTAGAAAATATCATTTTCAAGAAGAGACAGTTAATACACGAAAAAAGAACTCAAAATAAACTATCTATACATGTATGTAAATCTACAATTCAAAACATTTATTGAAAAAGAAACTAAAGTTCATTTACTAAGACGTTTTTCGAACAAACTTTTCATTTTAGGCTATTTTGTTCAATAGTTCCTCTGGAGTAAACGAAAGTCATGAACATTTGCACAAGGAATATCGGAATTATTTCTGATTTATAACTCAGATTTCATCAATTCGATATCCATTCAATTTCGGTAATCAGATCATAAGTTAGTCATGTGACTGAATATTGATTCAAGAAAAGAACTGCTACATGGAATAGAAAATACATAGGTAACAATTAGTTTCAAACTCGGTACTGTCTTTGGGTCAATATTTAAAAAATGTGAACATAAGTGATCAAATTGAACGCATTCATTTGCTCTTGCACCAATATTCAACAATCTTTCTAAAATATAACCATTAAAAAGTAAAACAATATCCTTATTATTATTTAGATTACGCTTTCTAGAGATACTAGTCATTCATATGACTTATTCGAAAACCAAACATTGATTGAAGCTATTTTGAGAAATCTTAGATGAAATTTGAAAAAAATGCTTATCATATTGCATCTTCTCTCCCTTCCCTTCTTGTCTGTCAGAATAAAATCAATTATCTAATGATTACAGGATAGTAAAGATGGCGCAATATGAAATCTATCAAAAGTTCTATCGAAAATTGTAATGCAAAAAGAAATTTTTAAAAAAAATACTGCGATTCAAAAAAATTCGGAAAAATCTCAAGAATTCGGATGAATTCGGAACGTCGGAAAGCAGTCTGAAAAACTTAGAAAATTCGGAAATTTCCGAAAAATTCGGATGCTCTGGCAACCCTGCATATGACTGATAGGGTGTGGGTGTGTGGATGTGGGTGCGTGCATGTGGGTGTGGGTGAAGTGTGGGTGTCGGTGGGTATTGCGTGTGGATGTTGGTATGGGTGTGCGGGTGTGCGGGTGTGGTTGTGGGCGTGGGTGTGTGAATGTGGGTGTGGTTTGGGGTGTGAATCTTCTTGTAACCCACCTACACCCATACCTGCCCACACCCACACCCTTAAAAATGAAAAATACTGGGCGAATGGCAGCAAAGAAAATGAAAAATAAATGTGCCTGCCAAAAAATTAAAAAATTCGTGATTTTATGCTATCTATATTTCATATTAGTATAATGAACCTGAAGAAAATAGGTGAGTTCCATATTTCAACCTCTTTGAGGCTGCGCTCATAAGCTTTTTTGAATAATTCGAGAACAGAAGTAGCTAGACATCTGCGACTTTCACCAATTGAAAGAGAAGATCGGGACGCATCTTTTCTCCGACAATATAAGAGGAAGTCCTTTTAAGACTAATTATTTTCGAAAAGCATATAATAGAAGATATGAAAATGACCTGCCATCTCGATAAAATTTTGATTTTGACCTTTCATTTAGATAGAGAGACTCCAAGTCTATCGTTCAAGATACCATGCAAATTTATTCTCTTATTACATTCTAACGTTGAGTAAACTGAATCATGGATTTGCATAAGCAAATAATAGGGATTTTTGCTAAGTTTTTACTAATTTTTTTTACTTTTTAACATAGTACCTTGACATTTCGATCGAAATGTAATGAAAAGTAAGAAAGCGCATTATACCTTGAACTATAGATTAGATGTTTCTCTATCTAAACTAACGGTCAGAACCAAAACTTTATCGGGATGGCAGGTCATTTTTATGTCCTCTTTTATATGCTTTTCGAAAATAATTAGTTTTAAAAGAATTTCCTCTTATACATTATGGAAGGAAAATATATGCCCCCGTTTCCTCTTTCGATTGGTGAAAACCACAGATCTCTAGCTACTTGCGTTCTCGAATTATTCAAAAAAAAGTGGTTCCCATTCTATTTTGAAATGGACAATACCCATGTAAAAGAAAAGTGAACCAAAAGTCACTTTTTATCACTTTTAATAGTAATAAAGTAAAACAAAATAACTTTTCTTACTATTTTTCACTTTTTATAGTATTTTTTGATAATTTTTCCACTTTCTATAGTACTTCCTCATACTTTTCCTACTTTCAAAAGTACTTAACAGTACTTTTTAGTCAAAAAGTATGAAAAGTACTTAAAAAGGTTCACTTATAAGCACTTTGTCCTGCTTAAAACCTACTATTGAAAGTACTTAATAGTCACTTTTTTGGGTAAAAATTTTTACAAGGGTAGTTGATGTTAAGAACGTTTTAGAAATAGATTTGAAATCTTGGGATTTCGGTAGTGATAATTTTTCCCGTCTAGTTGCGGAAGAATTTTTTCTAAGATTCGGCACAGGTTTAGCACAAGTTTTGAGTTTCTTACTAAATTTCTTGTGCAGTGTGATTATTCTTCGTGCTGAACTTTTCTGTGCTTAACTTTCTCGTGCTGAAATTTCCTTGTGCTGGAGTTTCCTGTGGTGAGATTCTGTGCTGAAAATTCCGGATCTCTCTTCTGATTATCAAAAGAGCTAGCTACCTCGTAAATTCGGCTGAAACCAGTGCCTATCTATTAATAGTTCCGCCAAAATACCTTGAAAATATATGGAAAGGGTTTTCAGACAAAGTAAGCCCGGGTGCATTGTTCAAAACGTCTGAACTTCTGAATATCTTGGCTTTGTTTTCAGGGGAGTCTTCGGAGGCCTTATCAATAAATTTTCTATTGTTTGATTCCATAATTAAATGGAGCATGAAAAACCACGATGACTTGCGTATGCCACACATTCGCTCAACACTTCATTGCCCTGCAAAAATTAAATTAGCAAGTCCAAACAAGCTGTTTTTTCAGTTCCTCGTTTGTATCTCCTAATACTATAGAAAACTCGACTTTGAATCAGTTTTATTCATAGCTCTGGCTACAAAACAATACTACACACGACTTAATGCATTTCAAACTTTCTAACAGGCTAGACAGTTCGCGTGATGGCGCTGACCGCAGATGATTCTAAATGAGCACCCTACAATAAAGATACGTTTTTCTCTTCCGAAACTTGGGTATCATAAAATTTTTGCTTGGTATTCGAAATCAGTGCCAAATTCTGCGACTCTCAATATGGAATCCAACAAAACTAAAAAAAGGATACTTTGTCGATGGCCATGGGATTCCAGAAGAAGCACTACATGTAAGTTACGACTAGTTCCAACAGACTCTTGCTCGGTCAATCTTATCGATTTGTCTGCTAATTTAATTGTAGGTAAATACGTTTGGAAAAAAAATAAACTGAAACTTTCAACTAAAACGGATGAACCATTCTGGAGATATAGATGACGCAAGTATAGCTACTTTGCTAAGTCTGGAGTATGATATAATGCAATACTTTTCAGCCAGTTTTCATTTTCTAAGGAACAAGAAGAGTGATAAGAGATACGTCTGTAACATAGATATTGCTCATCATGGGTGGTCTTTTTATTCCAATGAAAATCTTTCATCATCTAACAGTCGAGTTTGGTATTAGATGTCACGTCCGAAGAGCATGGCTGCGCGACTAAGGCAAGTTGATTGAATCAACGGAATTGATCACTTTGATAATAGCCTCTTTTGAAAGAGTGTATCATACTGTATTAAGTGGCGTTTTCCATA